ACTACCTAGATTACCTCCACTACCTAGATTACCTCCACTACCTAGATTACCTCCACTACCTTGACTACCTAGATTACCTCCACTACCTAGAATACCTCCACTACCTAGATAACCTCCACTACCTCCACTACCTAGATTACCTCCACTACCTAGATTACCTCCACTACCTAGATTACCTCCACTACCTTGACTACCTAGATTACCTCCACTACCTAGATTACCTCCACTACCTAGATTACCTCCACTACCTTGACTACCTAGATTACCTCCACTACCTAGATTACCTCCACTACCTTGACTACCTAGACACAGAATAAGGACATACAGAAGTGTATCTTCTTATTAAAAGTGCGTAAGGGATTTATGGCGAAAATCCGCCATGTTCTTAGCAAGTGCCCTAAAGAGAGGCATTCACCCCCCCGAAAACAGTCAAGATGGCGGCGTAGTTAGGGCGCGTGGAAGACATGCAAACTGCTCTATAAACGTTAACGTGGCTAAACAGTGTAAAAGCTTTTAAAATAAACCGACAGCAATTCGTTTCTAAATCTTTGTGTGAAATGGGTAAACCGAAAAGAGATGTAGCAACGAATTTGGAGCATTTGACATCTTATCCGTATAAATCTTTTATATACGTACAAATTATGCGTGCAATGTTTATATTTTGAGCGGGAAATGACAAAGCATTACAAATCATATTTATGGTTGATATTTGGAGAGATTTTGGAACCCTCATTCTCTGTGATCATTCATGAATGGATTAGTGTAAACCTGAAGTATTTTTAAAATGGATGGGGACGGCCATATTTAATAATATAAAAGGTATGGAAATTAAACATAAATCTTTAATAGTAGTCAGTAGTCGCTCAGTTATTCTCTTTAATCTTATAAACTTTAACAAATAAGTCATATCTTAACTGTGAAACAAATATGGTTAACAATACATTTTCAAGACTGTCTTAAATTAAAGATGTGCAATCTTAAAGTACTTCCTGTTCTTTTTGTCCCCCTTTTTTTGGGCCAGTTCTCTGTTTTTAAATTTAACTACGTAGTAAATACGCATTCTAACAAATAATCGGACTAAGTAGTTCCCAGGAAATTCTGCACAGTTGGATCCAGTGAATTCAGGTAGAACATCAACAATATGTTTCCCGACACCACTCGTTGTCATTGAATTTGAAAACTCGCCAATAAATTCTTGTTCAATGTTAGTGATGTATTGCACAAATGAAGTTGTTGGAACAACAAGAGAGCCAAATGGACCTTTATTCTCATTGTAGGCTTTGAAGTGGCAGAACAGTTGGTCGGAACTATCAAGTTCATTGTTGGTGAGGGCTGTCCAACAAACATTGCATTTATGTTGCTGGAAACACTTCTTCAATAGGTATCCAGCCACATAAGTGATTGCATTGGATGACATCAAGTCTTCGACAGATTCTAGCTGGTAATCTGATTCCCCAATGTTTAATCCTTGTGGTTTACTTTGCTGCAAACCCGAAAGTTGGGTTTTGTTTCCCAAATCCAATGCTGTATGGCCAGCAAGCATCTTATCGATGTCTGCAGTGCAATTTCCATTTGATGGAGAGAGGAAGTTGTCGAAAAAAAGCTTTCTGAATGCTCGTGTAAACTGCACAGGTGTCGGTGTGTCACAGTTTCCGCCTTGTTGCCTGATGCATCCGAAAAAATTTTCCAGTGGGTCTTGATTAAGACGACGAGTACACAGGAATTTGATTGATGATTTCAGGGAATTCCATAACAGGATTGTTGCATTGAGGGTCATCTCCAAAGCTTTCAAGCACTTCAATTGTGAGGTCACATCTTTGCCAGTTGTCGTGTTTATCACCGTTATCCCTTTCACGAAGGTTCGCATTTCATTCATGAATTGGCAATGGTCGGATTCTGCAGTTACTGGACGGTTGTGTGGTTTGTGACTTTTAAATGATGTGCTGTTGAGTGAATCAAATATTTTGTCAAAATTTGCGACTAGTTCTGCTGTCCCTGCAGCCGAAGGGGGAAGAAGACCACCGCTCACAGCCATCAACATAGCTGCAGAAACTGTGTGGCTCATCACTTCTGTTGCAAGTTTTACTTTCATTCGCTGAAATCCATTTGGGGAAATATGAGTGTTTGTCAACTTTGGACAGCATCGGATTGAGTTCTTGCTGTCAATTTCGTAAATGGCTGTAATGTCTCTCCAGGATGCAACTTTATTCTCAAAGTGGTAATCATATTTCATTAGATTGTTTCGTACAGCTTTGATAATATGTGGTGGGTCAAATATGTAATATAACTTTTTTCCCTTATGGATAAACCACGGCTTCTCTGGGGTAATTCCCATCTCTTTGACCAACTTTTGAAAATTGGATCCAATATCTGATACCAGTCCAACAACGTTTAGTCCGATGCTTTCAACTTTATCGATCAGTTCTTCCAACTTTTCTCTCACCTTTATACTGCTACAGGACTCTAATGAGTCCAGGTAATAGGCCAAAGGCTGTTTCCAATTGTCAACTACACCTCGTGCCATGAAGACAATTGCCGAGGATGCAACACAGTTGGTTTTGATTCCGTCACCAAAGTCCTCAAGGCCTACAAGTTCATCTGTGTTTGATTGGTAAAAGATGTTTGACTTCAACGATATTTCGTCAAATGAGATGAGGCATAGCCGTCCTGTGGCGTTCATTGTATTTACTTTTGTGGCAAGGACATCAAGGGCAGACTTGGACAAACCAGGGCTGTTTGGCAATTTCGATACCCATTTTAGCAATGCTGACTTTGATGGCAGGCAGAATAGCTTCGAGACCATCTTGTATGCCTTCTCGCTCAGGTGATAGAGGGTGATTGCAAATGCTTTCATATCAGTGCTGTATCTGTGACCCTTTGATGACTTTTTGGAGTGGAGGTCAATCTGGGATTCTATGAATTTTAGTATTGGAGAAGGTAGAATTGGCTCTAAAATTTTAAGCGCCTCTTTTGTTGATTTATTATTGTGTTTCTTGGGGTTTATTCTCTTCTTTAGACGATGAATGTGCTGATCCTTTTTGTTGATGATCCGGCGTAGTTTTCTTTTTCGAGGAGTTTTGTTTGATAAACAAGAACTGGTCTGACAGTGAATGGATTTTTGCGAGAATTGTTCTAAAAGGAGAGGCACTTCTATTTCAGAAATATGATGCTGACATATAAATACAATATTAATATTGTATGTTGTACAACTAGCACAACTGACAATTTGACATTACCTTCAGTCCTGGTGGATGTGGATGCGATGTTGCTTGCTGAATCCAAATTTTCTCTCGATTCTACCAGACCTACAAGTATGCAATATTAGTGTTAAAATGATTGACACCTTTAATTTCAATAATGAGAAATCATTATATAATAGATATTAATTATTGATATCATTAAATTCCTTTTAATGCATTCATATTGGCTACGTACCTTCACTCATACTGATGTCAGATTCCTCTGTGTTTGTGGACATTGGATTTTCTCTTGGAATTGGACCTACAAGTATGTATCAAACATGTATATTCAATATTAGTATTGTTTTCTGACATGTAAATTCCTTTTAATGCATTCATATTGGCTACGTACCTTCACTCATACTGATGTCAGATTCCTCTGTGTTTGTGGACATTGGATTTTCTCTTGGAATTGGACCTACAAGTATGTATCAAACATGTATATTCAATATTAGTATTGTTTTCTGACATGTAAATTCCTTTTAATGCATTCATATTGGCTACGTACCTTCACTCATACTGATGTCAGATTCCTCTGTGTTTGTGGACATTGGATTTTCTCTTGGAATTGGACCTACAAGTATGTATCAAACATGTATATTCAATATTAGTATTGTTTTCTGACATGTAAATTCCTTTTAATGCATTCATATTGGCTACGTACCTTCACTCATACTGATGTCAGATTCCTCTGTGTTTGTGGACATTGGATTTTCTCTTGGAATTGGACCTACAAGTATGTATCAAACATGTATATTCAATATTAGTATTGTTTTCTGACATGTAAATTCCTTTTAATGCATTCATATTGGCTACGTACCTTCACTCATACTGATGTCAGATTCCTCTGTGTTTGTGGACATTGGATTTTCTCTTGGAATTGGACCTACAAGTATGTATCAAACATGTATATTCAATATTAGTATTGTTTTCTGACATGTAAATTCCTTTTAATGCATTCATATTGGCTACGTACCTTCACTCATACTGATGTCAG